CCTGCCTGGCCCCGACCGAGTTTCAGATCCTCTCACACCGATCAGGAGAGGGGCCCTTTGAGTCAGACACTGACACCTGTCCCAGGTGGGGGGCAGGGACGTGCGATGCAACACGGATGTGGAGCAGGTGATGGGAAGGGTGTGTGGGCGGTGCAGACAGTCACAGGCTGTTCCCCAGCTGCCTTTTTTTTTTAATTGATTGAGGTAAAATTCACACGACATAAGATTAACCATTTTAAAGTGAACAATTCAGTGGCATAAAGTACAGTCACAGTGTTGTGCAAGCACCACCTCTATCTAGTTCTAAAATATTCGCATCACCAAAATAACGCCTTCCGTCACGCACTCTCCCCCACCCGCCGCCACCGAGCCCTTAGCAATCACTCACCTGCCGTCTGTGTACGGATCTGCCCACGGGGGGAATTTTATACAAATGGACTCCCACGTCACGTGGGCTTCTGTGTCTGGCTCCCGTCACTCAAGGTTCTTCCACGTTGCTAGGCCCCCTGACTTCACGCGGACCCTCTCGTCAGTTCCTCATTCCTTTCCCTGGCTGAGTGGTAGTCCCCTGTGTGGATGGACCACGTGTTTATCCATCATCCCCTGATGGACACGGGTGGTTTCCACCTGTTGGCCATGGTGCAGGATGCTGCTGTGAACACTGGGGGAGCATGGACTTATTTGAGTCTCTGTGTTCAGTTTTTTGGGGGGTAGATGCCTCGGAGCGGAATTGCTGGGTCCTATGGGAACTCCAAGTTTAACTTTCGGAGGAAGCACCAAACAGTTCCACTGCAGCTGCACCTTTTATGTTCCCAGCAGCGACGGACACGGGTTCCAATTTCTCCACACCCTTGCCAACACTGCTTCTTTTCTGTTTATTTATTTATTTATTTTATGATAAGTCATCCTAGTGGGTGCGACGGGGTGTGTCTCGTTGTGGTTTTAATTTGCGTTTCCCCATCACTGATTCTCGCCTTCTCACGTGCTTCTCAGCCACCCCACACCTTGTTCTTACCGGTTGCAAACTGGTTCATCCTATGGCTACGTCCTCCCTATCCAGCCAGTGCCCTGAGTGTGGACCCTGGGCTCCCTCCCTCCCAACCTCATAATCTTGCTGTTACAGATGATACTGTAGGAAACATTTATCTCTGAAGAGTAAATGCAAAGCACCCCCCCCCCCCAGTGAGTGGGTCAGGGGGTGTGCACGTTGCTAGACCTCCTGACTTCACGCGGACCCTCTCGCCGACTCTCCCGCCAGCTCTGCACGCCCTGCAGCCGCTCTGAACCCCCTCCCCTCCTTGTGTCTTCCAGATGCCTGGGAAACTTGCCTCCTCCCGTGCCATGAGCCGCCTCAGCCCCGACGCCGCCCTCCTGTGTCCACCTTGCCATTCTCCACGGGGCTGCCCCTGAGCAGCGAGGCCGGCTCTCCCCTCCTCCCGCCAACTCCCCTCTTCCCCCGCCTGCTGCACCCACCGCCGCCTGAAGCCACCGGCTCCAATCGCCCACCACCTCTGCTTGTCCAGAAAACACCCTGAGACGGCAAAGGCTCCCGCCGTCCGCGAAGCCCAGGATGCAGCTGCCTCGCAGGCAGCGCTCCGTCCCCTGCTCTCCCGCGCATCTGCTTTTGTTTTTTATTTCAAACAGACATTGAAAAAGAAAAAAACACACACCTACCTTCTGTTCTAGAAGATCCGGACTGACGGGTGGGGAGAAGGCCTTGGGGACCTTGGAGAACTCTGCCTTGTCCGTCGGCCACCAGGGAGGCCACGGAGGCCCCGGAGGCCCCGGCCTGGCCCCGGGTGGGCCCGCGTGTCCGTGTCGGGGGCTGCGTGATGCCCGTTACCTGTCGCCCCGTCCTCGGGCAGCCCACCGCCCGCGTGGCCGGGAGGATTGATCACGACGGTGATGACTCTGACGGCGTGTTGTGCTTTTCGCGGGGAAAATGAGGTGGTTTTTTTATATCCGTATATAACTACCCCTGTTATTTATTGGTTGTTAACTGTTGCTGCTGCCTCTGCGTCCGAACCTCCCAGAGATGCGCCCCCCCCCGCCGCCCCCGTTTACATGTGCAGCCCTTGCCCACCTGCCAGCAGCGGCCGAGAAGCCAAAAACTTTGTTTTTTTTCAGATGCTGTGTTTGATGTTTGGAGAAGGGAAAGGCGGGCTTCTTAACTGGCTGCCGCTCTGTTCCCTCCGGCCCGGATGCCTCCTCCTTGAACCCCTTTCTCTGTTCCCGTCCACACTCCGCGGTCCTGTGTCCTCCCCCCGGTCCTCACCATCTTTCTGAGGACAAACGGGGGGCATCTTTCGGTTTCTCGGCTCTTGCTTTGGTGTCTGTAGCAGCGAGGAGAGCGGACGGCTTGTCCTGCCTGGGACCGGCGCCAGGCAGGGCGGCTACAGAGGGAAAGACTGAGGACATGGAGGGGCCTTTGCACGCAGGTGAGCAGAAGTGGGGGCTCGTCCTCCCTCCGGGTGGGCAGGCTCCCCTCTCTGCTCTCCTGCCTGCCTGGCACCTGGCCCGACGCTGGACCGGAGGGAAGAGAAGGGTGCAGGTCACCCCGTTCAGGTGGTGGCTGCTCTCGGGGCTGTGCCCACCTGCGCTCACAGGAAGAGTTTTAGCTCCATCTGCCCCTAGAAAGGGCGGCCCCAGAACGGCCACCAGGAAAGCCAGACGATCTTGGATGGAGGCCAGGAGCCTGAGGCCGGCTCCGGCTCCGAGACTGTGGGCCACCCCGGCCCTGTCTTGCCCCAGCTGCCCCAGCAGAGCCCTGAGGCCTGGCTGAGTGATGTGGAAGGTCCGTCCATGATGACACGGTGTGATTCCAAGTGGGAGTTACCTGTGCGTGCCTATCCGCTGGCATGTGGCTCAGTGTGCCAGCCCCAGCAGACACGGGGCGTCTGCGGCCCAGATCTTCAGGGGCACGGCGGCCCTGGTGTGGGGTGTGGGCTCAGGTGACTCCAGAACTGGTCCTCGCCCAGAGGAGGGTGTGGGGCGAGGAGCAGCTCCCGGACTGTTTAGGACCTGAGTCGAGTTCCCGCTGCTGATCGCCCGCTCAGCCCAGCCCTAGAGCCGGCCCCGGCCCCACTTTGAATTGTCCTCCGTCTCCACGTGGCACTTCCCAGGAGGCCAGGCTTCTGCTAATGAGGCCTCAGACCCTCCCCAGAGGACGCCCTCTGAGAGGGACTCTGCCGTGGGCTGCATGTCTGCCAACCACAGAACCTGCCCTTCTCACACACGTGGGTTGTGGTCACGTTTCTGCTCCGGCCGCTGGCCCAGGAGGCCCAGGTCCCACCTCTGATCCCGCAGTCTCCTTGCCTGGCTCTGACCTGGGACCCCAGGGCCCCTTGGGGCTGGAGGGGAAGAGAGAGTGGCCCCTCCCAGGTCAGATTGCTTTCTGGTCTCTTCCTGAGCCTCGCCGCTTCTCCGGTCCAGCGGGAAGGATGCTGTTGCACAGCCTGCCCCGGAGGCATCGCGGGAAAGGGACTGCGGCTGAATGTTCTCTGGGATCAAGCACGTGGACCCCTCCCCCCGCACCCCCAGGCTGAGGCTGGTTCCCAGGCATCGGTAGAGCATCTGCGTGCGGGACCTTCCTCCACCGTCCAGGGAGGCGGAGCAAGTGGTACCATGGGCCCAGGCTTCAGGGCGCACCTTGGGGACGTGCCCTGTGACATCTCCGACTGCCAGAGGCCCCCTTCTTCCCGGCAGCGCGCTAGCTGAATGTTCTCTGGGATCAAGCACGTGGACCCCTCCCCCCGCACCCCCAGGCTGAGGCTGGTTCCCAGGCATCGGTAGAGCATCTGCGTGCGGGACCTTCCTCCACCATCCAGGGAGGCGGAGCAAGTGGTACCATGTTGCCCAGGCTTCAGGGTGCACCTTGGGGACGTGCCCTGTGACATCTCCGACTGCCAGAGGCCCCCTTCTTCCCGGCAGCGCGGTAGACAAGGGCATTTGTGCCGAGGTTGCCAGGCAGGGACAGTTCTGTCCCCTTCTCTCACCAGGCCCCTGGCTGTGGCCCCTGGGAATCCAGAGCAGCCCGCGGGCCTCTCCCCTTTCCACGGGTTCCCGTGTTTAACCAGGCAGCGTTCAGGGAAGGTCAGGCGAACGTGTCCCTCTCTCCCCTGTTTGACAGCCAGCTCCATAGACGACAGACACGCCTGAGCTTTCTGGGACTTTGTCTCTTCTCTCTGGGGGTGTGGGTGTGGGTGTGGGTGTGGGTGTGGGTATGGGTGTGGGTGTGGGTCAGGGGGAGAGATTGGGGGGCCCGAGTTTCCTGGGCAGAGGCAGCCTCTCCCTGGAGAAAGCCTCATGCCTGCCACCCCAGCTTCCACATCTAAGGGATCCAAGAAGGGAATGTGGGAGCGCCCCCTGGTGGCGGTGAGCTGCAAAGGCTCAACTGGGTAAACAGGTGATGACCGAGGGTGGGAGGCGGCCGGTGGGGGGGAGGGAGTCAGGGGCTGTGGCCTCCCCTCAGCCCTGGCCTCCAGCCCCACATTATTGACGGTGTGTTTCCCGGATGCCCCTCTCTAGGTGTCTCCCAGGG